GGGAGCTCCATTGGACCTTATTTCGGAAAAAGTATGTATTGAAGTCAATGGAGGGAGAAAGATCATCTTTCGATCCCGTTTGAATTTTGCCACGAATTACACATATGATGTTTGCCAATTTAAAAGATAATTTTGCAAGTCTAAAACATTTTTTTCCGTAAAACTGTATCACTTTTTTTGTGTGAAACCACTCAACGAACTACATCTCCCGTCTCGCACCACACACCAAGACGGCGGTCACGTTGGCACATTTCACTTCTTTCTTTCAGAATGAGGCGAAAAGTATTAAAAGAGGTGAAAATCACTACTCTAGGCATGTTGAGAGCTGTACATACACACAAGGGGAGTTAGTCGGTTCCGTAAGAGCCAGCATGCGGGACCGGGATTCTGGGATTTGTAGTCTTTCTAGTTGCATATTTTTCATAGTCTTATATTTCAACAGTTTTAAGAAAAACTGTGACTTTTTTGACATGGAAATAATTTGTTTAGATTGACAAACATCATATGTGTAATTCATGGCACAATTCAAACGGGATCGAAAGATACGTTTTCTCTCTCCATTGACTTCAATATACATAATTTTTGCGAAATAAGGTCCCATGGACCGGAAGTAGATGGGCGGGACTTCGGCTCTCTATAAGGTCCCATGGAGGTCCACCCTAAAGGGAGGGAATTCGCCTCTCTATAAGAGCAGAAGGGGATTTTCTCCAGTAGTAAGCCTTGTCTTTTGCTGTTAGTAACACACACCATTCAAGTTTGGCACCTTCTCCCCAGTTCAATAAGCAAGAGAGAGAGAAAGCAGCGGTAAAGGATCAGTTACGCAGCGTCCACACGACGGCGTGCGTTGAAGCTTCCCGGTGAGCTTGTCTGAAACTCGACCAACAACCAATCACATGAATCTCCCGCCCCGGACACGCGGTTTGATTGGCTAGAGCTTGTACTGGCATATGATTTGATTGGCTGACGCTTCCGCCGAAGCTTCAAAAGTTGAACATTGCTCAAGTTTTGAAGCGAGCAACGCGAGCAAAGCGAAGCAACGCTCCCACAATGCAGTTCGGCAAAGCGCGACGTCACCCCAACCCCGTCAACGCACGGCGCTGTGTGGACGGGCCGAGAATGGGGATGGGAAACACGTATCTTCCCTCAAAGTTAAAAGAATACATTTGGAACAGTCCGGCAGTATTTTGCTCTGTTATGTCCGTGGCTGCGATGGCCAGAGTGACCCATACCACGGCAGAGGAACATATAGTAACAAATGAAATCACGAATCAAAAATAAAACTTGGTTTAGCCTGAAATTAGTGGGCAGTTTCAGGGTTTTCCCTTTTGCCAGTCTGTTGTTTCGGGGAAGTAGCTACCTTAAAAAGACATAGAAAGAGGTTGAATACAGATATAATCAGACAGACAGTGTGAAAAAGCAATTTGTTTTTTAACATTTTAGCATGTAAACACGTTCAAGAAGAAACCAAAAAACAACTATAAACTCACATTAGCCCAATTAAAACAACATACATCAATGTCTCTGCATACTCCTATAAGTGCTGGCATGTCTCCATAGTATCCAAACATTTCAGTGTCAAGTTCAGTTTCTGTGCACACACACATACATACTGCACAATCACAGCATACGCATACAGCAGGAGCAGCGCCCAGAGTCGAACGTGTGGTTGAGAGAATCTGGACCCAGTTCGCCTTGATAAATGTTTGCCGCCAGTTGTCATGACGATAGGTGGTCAGACAGGCTTGTGGTAAAGTGTCATATATAAACCCCAATGAAAAAGGAACCAGAGAAGGGAGGACAGGACAGGGAAAACAGGGAACGATGGTACAGTTTTGCGGATTGGGAAGGGAGAGGGGGCCTTGTGGGAGAGCTATAGTGTGTGTGTGTGTGTGTGTGTGCGTGTGTGCGTGCGTGTGTTTTATGAGAGAGGGTAAAAGAAAGGAGCAATGTATGGTTTATGAGAGAATGAGTGAAATAGGAGGATGACAGAGAAAATCAGTAGCAGAAGTTGTTATCGGAGGCCCAGTTTGTTGTGGAAAGCAATTTGGAATCACAGAGGGTGGGTGATCTTGCCACAAAAAAAGCCAGAAACATTTTACAACACTGTATAAGAAGGGTCGTGGGATAGTAAAGGAGTACGCGAAATGTTGCAACAAGGCTGGATAGAAAGATTTGTATTCCTTCTGGTTATGAAAACGAAATATTTAGTATTAAGGAATAACTCTCTCCTTGGCTAAGCATATTCCCATAGGTGAAGTGTTTTAAACATCTGCGCAGAATCAGGTAGTTGGCTGAATCTCAACAAATTCACTGGAAGTTTGGACGTTGAAATATTACAGGCTCACAAAGATTTGCAGGATGAGCAGAAACAAGACTTATGTAACGGCTGTACATTAGCACCGAGGTTAAATGCTAATGTTGACCTTATTCACCACTTATATCTTCAAATTAGCATTCAGGTGAATCTGAGGAGGATTGTCGTTTACATTGCAGGTGTTTTGCCATAAGCTAAAGTATTTAACTAATTCAAGTTTTGACCTACTAATGACAAATTAAATGTTATCACTAAAGTTAACATGAATGTGTTTCCCACTTTTCATATAAATGATTCCCATATTTGTTGACATTGAACTCAAAACCCCAAATCCGAAACCTTATTGTGTCAAAAGTTAAAGGAACCCCAAAGTCAACACAACTCATCCTTTGGGAAACATGGTAATGTGTACGCAGTTATATTGCAATCTATCAAATGTTGGTTGAGATATTTCAGACTGAGCCAAAATGGTAGAGAGCGTTGGAGAACTGATGCTGATAGCATGAATATAAAAACTCCCATATTTGTAGCAGTAGACAGCAGTATGTGAGAAAGGCAGAAGCAGAGATTGAAGAGAAACATTGAACATATCTAGTTTCCCTCTCAAAACCAAGTGGAATCCCCCTTTGATTGGACTGGCCGAGGTAACTGTCTGTGTGGGTGGTGTCAGTGTGTATTTGTGGGGAAGTATCTATAAAAGTATGTGAGTAGCTTGTGTATAATCACTGTGCAGGGTTCTGGTCTTGGTCCCCATCTGGATTACTTTTCTACAGTGGAATCACCAGAGCTACCTACAGTAGGATGCTGCTGAATTACATGTCAACTCAAATTTATTTAGAAATCCCCTTAAGCAAAACACATCCAACACACCCTGCTTTCCCGGGCTTCAAATAACATACAGTAAATGCACAAGTGGGACAAGTTAAATACTATCTGTCACGAGTAGCTTAGTGTTTCTGATACTTAACTGGAAATACTACACAAAGATGCTCTTTAATTGAGGTGAAATTGTGTATCTAAAGGAAATGGCAAGGTGGGTTTGTTTCCTGTCCCCTACTGACATCAGCAAACACTTCTCCTGAAACAGGAATGTTGTGTAGATCCATTTGTCATCAGTATGTACTCTGCAGTTTACACATTTTAATACAGAAAATGATCCAAGTGTAAAACAAACACGTCACGGCCTTGGTGTCAGCCTGAAGTTTACTCAGACCATACGTTTTTCATTTGTGGTTTATTGTGAAATGTCTCAACTACTATTTTTAGGATGAAATTAAGTAACTTTGGTTATAACTTAATTAGTGGCATCAACAGATCAATATTTCTATTTATAAAATCTTTATGTCAATCTATTTCCTGTCCGCCTTAGCAAAACTAAATGTAAAACTATACTTCACATGTTGGCATGCTAACACGCTAAACTAAGATGGTATATCATAAACATCATAGTCGTAGTTTCACTCAGATAAGCATAGGCAACATTTAATCTATGTAGTTGTGAATGAAGCTAGCAATATGTTTTTTTTTTCTGAACATTTAGATTTTCCCATTCAGACATGTTTCTAAGTTGTTTAATTTTACCAGTTGGAACATGTTTTCTTGCCTCACTTTACACCCAAACACAACTCTGTGAACTGTCTGACTACCATCTTGTTTCTCTGTCTTCTCTGTGTCTCCCTCACCTCTCTCTCGTTGAATGAAGGGCAGGCTTGTGTGTCGCAACAGGGGGCTCACTATACTCCATAGTTTTTCTAACCCACACCCTTCCCTGCCTCTTCTCTCCCCTCTCCTCTCCCTCTTTCCCCTCAGACTGAACTCCCATTTTCCAGAGGTTGCCTTTGGTCACTCTGTTTATCCATCTTTTTCAGCCCCCCTTCTCCCAACCTGAATCCCCTCTCCCAAGGCAAAAAGGAAAAATAATAATCTGACTCTGCACTGTATGTACGCTTGTGTACACACAGTGCCCAGCTTCATGTTTTACTCATTTTAAAGGCTGATTCACATTGTTAGTTCAACCCGTATTCTTAGCGCCTTTAAGTAAAAATGCAACATATCAGGAAACACGTTTATTCACTTTCTTACCGAGAGATCGATGAAAAGATTGATTCTACTCTCATATTTGTACAAGAAATTGTTACTAAAAGGTAGTCCGGCACAGAACCGCAAGTGATCTATCATTTTAAAACAAGATATAACTTGTTATTATGTTAGCTTCACATGCTGTTAGGACCATTTTGTTACTTTTGGCCAGAGCAAGGCTAGCTGGTTTCCCCTATGTTCTGTCCTTATGCTAAGCTAAGTAAGCTCTAGGCTGTAGCTTTATATTTTATTCTTCTTTTGGTCATCTGTGTAATAATCGTTTCTGTTATGTCTTTCAGGGTTGTGCCAGTGTTTCAACATTGATGTAAAGAATCCTCGCATCTTTACCGGTCCAGAAAACGCTCTGTTTGGCTTCTCTGTTTTACAACATGAAGACGGCGGAGAGAAATCGTAAGTTTCTTTTAGAGTGAATGAAGAAAGAACAACAAATAAGTACTATACAACTATCATAATTGTTACACAAAGAGGATGATAATAAATGACTCACTGTGTCCTTGAAGGATGCTGGTCGGTGCTCCGTGGGACGGGCCGCCCAACAACAGGAAAGGAGATGTTTACAAATGCATTGTGGGAGAGGAGAGGAACTCAAACTGCAGCAAAATAAATCTAGGTGAGAAAAGCAAATATCCTTCACATGTAGGCCTACATTCTCACTGATAAGTTACCCAGATGCTACAATAAACTGTTTATCTATCTATCTCAGGTGAGACTGCTCTCCAGAACGTTTCTAAAAACCTGAGGAATTCTCACCTGGGAATGACGCTCACTCCAGACTCGCCTGATGGATTCCTGGTATGTGGTTTCAACACTGAAAAACAATACATTTTATTTTTATTTTGTAGGCATTCCATTCTCATGATTTAGCTAGTATGAAAGGCTGTGGTGAGACCAGGTTATTTGTGTATGTCTGAATTGTAATGAATCATCTCTGCTGGTGGGTTTTTATTTGACCTTAGTTATGAGCTTGAATGTGCGTAACAACAATCCCTCACTTCATTTGCACATTTACAAAGTCAAAAACATATACCTAATTGGTTGACTGAACTGCTTGCCTTAACTGCTTTGAATGCATACTGTATGCACAATACTGTAATGCCTTTATTTGTGTTGGCTGTGTAAAGCCTGCCCATCTCTGGAAAATGTTTGTTCCATTTTATGGACTAAAGTAAACAGTTTGTTCTCAATTTAAAGTTAAATCTCAAAGCAGGTCAAGTGCATGTCCTTAGTTTTGAAACTTTAGTTAACCCCCCCCCCCCTTACTTTGGTGTTCGTGGTCAAATTTGACCGGTCCTGTTTGAACTGCTATTACATTAACACAAAAACCATTAATCATCACCAAATCTCATTTAACTCCCTTTCAAACTGTAAATATGGTATCAGACTACTGGTATACATGAACAACTGCAGTAAATATACAAAGAATAGACACTGAACATGTATTACGTGTTCCAGGTGTGATCCATGTGGGGGGATGGGCAGATAAGAGCGGGAAATGTGTCAGATTG